CACACTGAAGTGGCACTCAAGTTAACGCGAAAGCGAGACGTCACCTCACTTCGACAGCGTCAGACAACCACTTTAAATTATTCATATTATTCAACTTTAAATAAAGTTAGTTTCCACGTGTATACTCGAAAACATGCTAATCTGTGGCTTTAGAAACATCAAAACTCCATTAGATGATGAAAATAATCAAAAGGTAAAATCAAATATTGATATTTTTTCCTGTAGGCACCTGAGCAAAATTATTACATAATTAGTTCCCTTAGATCTTCATTATGCAATTATTTTTCTGATAAGAAAATCAGATATTATGAATAAATTTCTGTTTTATATTCTATAAAGGTTTTCATGGAGTGTTAAAAATTAATGAGTTATTATTTTTGTTTGAAATTGCAATGTTTCTATTTAGAATCTTGCGACACTTTTAGACTCTTAAGAACAACTACGAGAAGTTGACTACAGAAAATATATATATTTATGTCCAAACTTTGGAAGAACGGACATTTATGAAATTGTCTAGACGACCGCAATTCTAAACTTGAGTCATTTTATTTTGTACAAAGTTTTAGTTGTCATCGTTGGGGTGGAAATACACTAATATGTGGTTTTATTTACGGAAATGTTTTGAGCATTTAATAAATAAAAACATTTAATCATGAATGAAAATACTTCATGATGAATCCGTAACCATGTGTTATTTTAAGATAAAAGTGAAATAATGTTTATAAAATATTGTGAGGTAAATAATTTTAACTTATTCCAAGAGAGATTCTCGAAGGAAATTCATGAGAATATTTATCACAACTATATGAAATAAAATGTTAGAAAAAGTTAAATCCATGCAATTTTTCGAAAGAAAAACTCAATAGCTATTTTCCACGTTCAAAATGGAGTTGCATCTAGCAGTTACAAGACCCAAGAGTATCATTAGAGAGCAAGGGAAGTCAAGAGAGGTTGGAAAAGCTTTCATTAGCTAGTAACATACTAGTCTAGCTCGATGCAAGCATGCATGCAAATACAAGAAGAGAAAGAGAAGGGATAAAAGCATGTCGACAAGTAAAAGAAATAAAGTCGAATATACGATGCAAAATGTCACGTGGAGACTATATTTTCATCGTATTTTTTATCATCTTTCGATATTGCTAACATAAAAATGCTTACAAAAAACATAAAATTCTTATGCATCACAAAAACGAGTATAAAAATGCGTGAACTCGGTGATAAAAAAAACCTTTTGTTGAGTCTATATAGAGACAAAAAATTTTAGTTTTCAAAGATTCAAAATTCAAAGAATGAGGTTTTTTACAAAGGAAAATATTCGAGATAGTTGATGTAGAAGTATTTGAAGTAAGAATTGTATTATGTTTGAATGAATGAGTAATTTTTTTGATTGATTCAAAATAATTAGTTACATGTCAACTAAAAAACTATCAATTACAATGAAATTTTGATGTAAAAATTGAAAATCTACAATTATTTTATTGAAAAAACATTCTAAGAAATATTTAATTTATTTTGACATTAACTTGACTGTGAATAGCTCCTTGCATGACAGAGAGAAAAATAAAATAAGAATAGTTCAAAGGTCAAAGCAACGCTGAGAAATCGATAAATATTGAAAACGTTGTGATGAACCCAGTTTCAGTTTTGATTGTTTTCTATAAAATATAGAATACCTTCAACAGCCTTCCTTAATTACATTAGCTTCGTATAAATTCCTATTTCGTATCCCCTATTCTTTCCATACCTTCTAGTCTCTCGATTCGTGATAACCTACGCGTGACTTTTTCACATTAAAATTAGGACCTTCATATTAAGCGTCACTGTAAAATGGCGAACGTGATTCTTAACCATTTATTTTAACCTCATTAAAATTTTCAAAATTTGCATTCATCTTCTTGAATAAAATATTTTATGTAAAGGATATGAATTTTTTGTTCAACACGAATTTTTTGAATAAGTGTTCACAATTTATTTTTATTATTCACCAAATACGGATGAATTCCTTTCGTTTCCATCTAATGATATTTAAATAATTTCCCTACGAGAATCACATGTGAAAAAAATTAATTTATTCAACAATTATGTCTCTTATTTATTCTCATTTATTGTATTAAAATAAAATAGATTAATGATTAAATCATTTATGCAATTATTTTTAGCAAAATGGCATATGTTATTGTTAACAACAACTTTTTAATGAAATAAACCGATTACTTCTCTCACAAATACATCCATCAAAAAATAATTAAACTTCAATCTAAACTTAAACAAAATGAAATTTCACATATAACTTTTCATAGTCACTTCTGCGGGATTATACTATAAGTAAACAGAATAACGACTTTATGACTCCACATACCGTAACATATGCTTAGAACAAAAGTAAACGAACGCTGCATACAGTGTCCTGTTCGTGCTTATATTCAACCTGTGGAGATTAACCGGATTACAGAACAAAAGTACATTAATTAGACGCAAAAGTAGGTAGAGAAATGTATTAGTGACGAATACATAGACAAGACTCAAATATCCAAAGTTGTCAAGTTAACGTTGAATCACCAGGACAGTTCTCGTTGTTCAATTAGGACACACAGCTATGGACCCTAGTAGAGTAGACGACAGGTTGAGTGAAAGAGAGACACAGAGAGTGCGAAAACACTGAAGCCACATTCAACACACTGCCATTCGAAGGAACGTGTCCAAGCTAAATCCGAATTATTGCGGTTCGTGAACATCACGAGGCTTTACGCGGAAAAAGCTTTTGTGGAATTTTTTAATTGGACAATACACTTTCATTGTCTTTGTAACAAATGCTCTCTTATACAATATCTCTTTTGTTTAAGTTTTTTGTTTGTTTCACTTCTTCATCACGTCCGAACTTCATTTTCCTATTTTTTAATATTATCTTCAAAGCGGAAACACTCTAATTATTATTCTTCTTTTGGTACGCATTTTATTTATATTTCAATAAAACCACTGTACAGGCCAGAATTTTTATTATTCATGTTTTAATTAACGCTAATATCATCGTCTTTATGAAAAAATATATTGAAACTCACTACTTATTATTATGATTATCTACGCAATTTTATGGTATGACTTTTAAATAGACTTGAAGCAAAATGTTTTTTTGCATGCTCTATTTAAAGGTATTGAATAAAAGACTGAACTGTTTTTTAATAATTTACTCTGAATTATTAGACTGGTCATTGTTGTTAATGCCATGGACAATATTAAATTACCTTTGCCCTACAGAGTTAATCATAAGGCCTAATTATATGATAAAATTCATAGTCATAACACTTCAGAAAAATGTAGATTTTTATCTTCACAGAAAAAATTACAATTTATAGGATGCTTGTCACTTGTGCCTTGAAAATTCATGTTTTTACCTGATAAGTATCAAATTTCCTTAAAGTTGATTAAAAGTAAGTAAGAGAAAAGAATAGAATAAAAGATCCACTTTTCAAAGGAAAACAATATCTTTCAAGTGATATCGATTTCCTAAAAGTTTAACAAATTCGATTAAATTCATCCAATTCCCACCAATTTCCTGTTAAAATAATTCGGCTTTCAACCCCAATTCTGCCAAAAATAAACGAAAGAAAATTATATCCCCTATTGCATAACTCCTCAGCTTGAAAAACGGTCCAATTTATCTAATTTTCCCCTATTTCGTAGGATTATTCGTTGAATAGACTCAAATATATATGGATGGTGTATGGTTATGTAGAGTAGAAAATGAGTGGTTCAGTAGGGGGCGAAGGAAGAAGTGCATGAAAGCGATGTACAGGCTACGTGTCACGTAAATCATAACGCCAATTCAATGTCGCAAACTAACGCCCAACATTGCACGCGATAAACTCCTGAGAAAGTGGTGTAGTGTAAAGTCTGTGGTAACATAAACTTGAAAATTTAATATAAAACCGAGATTCTCAACCAAAAACTACATACAGATCAACTTTATTTCTCATTCTAAATAATATTTTTTCTCTCTTATAAGACCTGTTTAAAAACTTGTAATGAAATTAACTTATTCATCCAAAATAGCACAGTGACTTTTCACTGGCAGTTTCCAGTCAAACGTTTAATTTACGAGGATGAAGTTTAACTAAAATGAGATGAAATTCATTTGATTTTACTTCAACTATGTTACATAAGCTGTGTTATTCTTTAATTAAAAATATTTTCTTATTTGCCTTGATGTTAAGTACATATTTGAGCAGCAAAAATAATTATAATCATTACAGCTAACTTACAAAATCTATTTACAAGAATTTACAGTTGATGGAAATACTAATTTTACAAAGATAAAGTTAAATAACAATTAAATACATCAAAAACGAATACTTTATTTCTTTTTTTCTTGAGTGGAATTTATGTAATAAAAATGTATGTAATTAGCATAATAATTTGTTTCTTTGAAGTTGAAGTGAATAGTAAAAACAAGGAGAAAAAAAAATAATTGAACATAAAGAAAAGACTGAAGAAATACAATTGTGTTAGTAAAAGTAATGCCCCTTTATCAGATTTAATTTAAAACAGTTTTTTTTCTTGAAAACAATGATTCTCTAGAAATTATAAAATGAATGAAGTGCACTACTTTCTCGATGTCGGAAGAAAAATGACAGTCGTGCGATTACTCCCGGAAATTAAACGCAACGCCAAGCTCTGAATATATCGCTGCAAAAGGACGAACAGATGAGTGAAAATAAAAGGGAAAGAATTATAGAGTGGATTAAATGTCGCAACTAATGCAGCAGATTCATATACGTAAATACCACGACCACAGAAATAACTGTACTGTGGTAAACTCGAAAATCAACTCATCTTTATTCTCTTCACCTCATACTTTGCTTCGTAGTTGTCAGAATTTTACACGCAATCACCAATTAATTTCCAACACTTGTCATTCTGATCGACTGTTAGTACTACAGAAGGTCATCTTAACTCACCCAACCATAGAGACTAGTTTAACAGTCATAAATATACACAGAAAAGATATAATATATTCTCTTTTATTATAGCTTAATACAAATCAATGCATATTTTATTTCTGTTTATAACAAATAAAGTCATTTAGAAAATAGCGAATTTTGGAGCACATTCAGTATTGTTAACAGTCATTCCCACCACGAGAATTGCATTATTTGACTTTGATTTACAAGCAAATGAACTTGCCAAAGATTCCTAGATAAGAGAGTAAGAATATTCAGTAAAGAATTAATAATTTGATAAATATTTTGATAAAGAAAAAATGTTACTTTTTGATTAAATGATTCCATCACTGCTTCAACAGGCTCAGCACAATAAACTTTTTTTCCTACTTTACAACGTGTACATACATGATTACCATTACTGTCACAGCAAGATTCTGTACTTGTTATGTATCTAGCTTTCGATTGCTTTACTTCAAATCCTAAATAAATAATTAATCATAATAGCAAACAATAAATTATTCTATATGTTTTATAATTACAATGTAATTATTACCATTATCCTTGTGTATTAAACTAGTGAAGAAACAATTATTGACATCAACATTTTTTGCAATATCATATCTAATATCTTTTTTTGTCGGAAACTCAACGTTTAACTGTAGATCGAAAGGTGTCTTGAGACTTAAATAAGTCATTTTTCGAACTGGCATTGGAGACACTGAGGCTGAAAGATAAAGTCTCATCCAACCAATAGCTTCAACTTCACGTTCTTCAAAGTCTGTTGCTTCGGTGTTATTCCCTCCTGATGATTTGTAAATACGTACTCGGATATTCTCTACTGGGTCCAAGCTAATTAAATAAAAATTATCGAATATTTTCTATATATTCGTTAACTTTGAACTCTCAATGGAATAATTATTCAACAAATTTGTTATACTTACGCTTCAACGCACTGATCTACTGTATAAATAAGTTTCGGATCAACAAAAACTCCTTGACACTTGTATTTAAAAGTGTCAAATTTTGAAGAACGTTTAAAAATAGCTCCCATCCAATTAATATTTTTGTCATCAACAAGATGAGAGTCTGTTGAGCTACTCGAAATTGCTTGGATATTCACGAAAAAATTGATAAATGTAAAAACTACGAATGTTTTGATGATTAGTGTCATGATGACAAGTGAAATAAAAAGTGGGTAGTTTAAAGAATAAAATTATTCGACAATTGTATACTTCCGGTGTCAATGTGACTTTTTCTGTAAGCAATAGCAATCCATCGAATTTATATTCCGGATTTTATATAACATGGAAATATGTGTTAAATCATTTTTAAAACGATAAAGATATTTCTATAGTCACATGAAAGCTATTTATCACGAATTTCGTGCAAAATTTTTTTATTAGTTCTTTTTTATGTGAAAATACTATAATTCATATTTATTTTCAAGGCTAGTTTGAGAACATACACATATATCACTATTATGAGCTCGTGAATACCGACAATAAACTAAAAAAATAAATAAATAACGTTCAGATATTGAGCATTTTGTAATAAAAAAAAATAATCAGTGAATTTTGATGAAATTAAATAACCTTATCAAAAGTAGCATAAATTAAAAAACATTTGTTATTGATTATTAATTATTTATTAACAAAAGCAAAGAATAAATCTTTCAAATGATTTATAATTTATTATATCGAGGAACACATGATGAAAGATCAATTAAAATACCCATAACGAAAATAGAAGGACTATTCCTAGCTTGACAAACCAGTGATGACCCTAGAGCATCCTAAATAACAAGAAAACCAAGACCATAATAATCACAGATTATTGGAATAATAATATTAATAGACAATGATAATAAAAAATGTGGAGTAAAAAATATTTACATTTTTTTGCAAAGCTCTACCCATAATTTTCTGATTGAAAGGTGCACAAAAAGTATCCATGCCTACGTCACATCTAACACACACATTATTCGATGCAGATAAAGACTTATCTGTGTTATCATCAATGCAACATGCTTCTTTATCAGAGATATATTTCGCTGAGTATTGCAAAATCGAAACACCTAAATGATAGTATTATTATATCAAATATTGATGATAAACAAAACGAAATCGTTTTTGTTATAAAAGACAAGTTATTGACGTCTGTTGTCATGAAGATGACAATCATTGTATTTACCATCATCTTTATCCTTTACTAAGCCAATATAATGACAGTTGTTCATGTCAACTTGGCTCATTATTTTCGACGTCAAAGATTGCTGTATTGGATAATAGGGTAGATCTGAATGTAAGTCAAACGAGCTAGAGAGATATACGAGTGCCAGACGTCTTACTGAAATTGAGTGTGCTGACGATAAAAGATAGATTTTTTTAGGTCCAATTCCTATGACATCTCGCTGCTGATAAGAAGTTGTATTTTTGTTATCTTCATTGTTCCAATTATACGTACGAACTTTAAGGTCGTTATAAGAATCCGTACTAAAAAAATTTAAACATTCTTAATAAATCTGAATAAAAGATTTCTGATAAAAAGAATGGTTAGGAATTTACTTACGATTCTAAACATTGATCAATAGCATAAACAATTGTGGGCTTTATCAAAATTCCTTGACATTGAAATTTATCGTGAGCTTTAGATGATTTTGTTGATAAAACTTTATAAATTCCCACTAGCCATGATATATCTTTATAACTGATAGGAAATGATTCATCTTCCAAATCATGAGAGTCAATTAAAATTAATGATTCTTTAATAACTGCTATGGCAATGATGATTTTAAATTTCCACATTATATAAAACACCAAATTAACTTCAAAACTGCGATTAAGGAGAAAAGAATGAGTGAATGAAATTGAGACAAGTCGAATGAATAAGTGAAAACATATTTAGAAATACAAAATATGAAATTTAGAATCCATCACGGTAAATATTAACAACTAATTTTTAAAAATAAACAACACGTAATTTATTACAACATAAAATAATTATCAAAGTCATGAAAAATACTTTGATGTAAAAATTTTATGGATATGTCGTAATCTTTGTATTGAAATTGTTTTCAAGGACCTGTAAATGAATGCATGACTAAGCTATTGACAGTAAAAAATTATCTATAAACACTTTAATACTATAAAAATCGTATCCATCAAAATTATGATACGTAAAGTTATCTTTTTTTTTGGCTTTTATGATTTTATTTTTGAAATTTCTCTATTCATTTATAAATAAAACTACTTTTTTAAACTATTTTTAGCTTGTAATACATAAGTATAGTAAGTATGGAAAGCATGGAAAATATTAAACAAGAAAAAGAACATCTGAGAAAAGAATTAAACATCATAATTAAAAAATCCTCATTAATTAACTTATTATTTATATCACAATGCTAGTTTTCTACTTTTTTAAAATAAAAACAAAAAGTAGTTATAACTAGTGTACTAGTGAATAGTTGCTAATTAAAATTAAAAAAAAATAAATAACCACAATATTTTTCTTTTCACGTGAAAAATTGTTTGTTTATTTTTCCAACATAGAATATATAAAAAAAAATGTAATTCATAAAATATCATCGTAAAAATGACAGAATAAAAATTTCCTTGTTTTTTGACCGAAATTTTTATAAATGAAAATTCTTCATAGCTAGAAAAGTCAAGTGTGGTAAAATCCAGAGAATAATCTTAAGAAAATAGAGGCAGTGGTAAGTGTGTTATAATAAGCGAGTAGAGTAGCTCAAGATTCACGACGACAGTGAGTGTTCGACTTGTGGCTCAACAGCAACAGAGAATGTTCGATATACATATACATTATATGTATATATATATATATATGCATGTGTAGAAGAAGAAAGAAATGACGGTGGTTGAAGGGGTGGATGAGGAGTTCTCGCGTGCAGCCTTGACATGGGCCAGGAAATCAATGGGACCTCCAACCAACACAAACTCGGTCAGCAGTGCTGCATGGCCCCGCGTGGCCCGACTAACACTAGAGATCCATTGCTATTTTATCATTCAAGCTTTTGCATAGAATCATCTTATTCTATACAAAGCTCTTTCAAACATATGCAGTCTATTATTTTTCTTTTTTTTTCGACACACTACTAGTTTTAATGAAAACTTCAATTAACATCTAACTAAAATTAACATTTCATAGAAATTTTACTTGCTGTATTTATTTTGAAAAAAAAATTTTTTTTGCTAACAATAAAATTCAATGTATCTTTTTAAAAAAGTCAACTATAAACACATGAGATTAATTAACTAAAACAAATAGAATTAATTGAAAAAGCCCAGGTGTCTGGTGAAGTGTCTGTAAAGTCAAATTTCCATTACTTTCTTGAGTTCATGTTGACATTGAAAACAGTAGTCCAACTCATTGTAACAATTCTACTGCATTCTCGAGTTAAAATAAATGGCTGTTATTATTGCAAGTTACGAGGAAAAAGCCAGAAACGTCTGAGTTACGTATAGAAAAAAAAAACGTATAAATATTATTAAACAAAAAGAAAAAAAAATATTGAAAAGATCAGAAAAATGAAGACTTGTAATTTTTATAGTGTAAAAACTTTAAATCGATTAATCAAATAGAAAATAAAAATTTTCAATAAACAGCAGAGCAGACTATCTGGTTACTGCAGTGGAATATACAATTTATATTGCCAGCAAACTCGAGGCGTTTCTATATAAAGCCTTGACAAGCAGACAGGGTTGCCAATCAATGCGAGGCCATCACCCTCTAGTCCATGGCCCTATACATACTTTATTAATACTATTCAGTGAATCATGACGGTCGTAATCATAAAGTAGTTTAAGCTATTTCTGTTCCTAAAGTTAAAATTGCTTTTAATATTAAAAAGTTAAACAAAAAGACTATTAAGTGAAACCTTTTAATTTTGAATTATTATTTAACTCATTCTAAAATTTTCATAACTATTCACAATATTTTCTTTTGTGTCTACAGTTTTTTTTTTACCTTTTCTCTTTGGGTTTCAATATCTATCATAATAAGAAAATTATGCAGTCACTTTCAATCAACTTTATTCGCCTTTTATTAGCACATTTGATTACTTTAAATTCATCTGTGGAATATTAAATATACAATTACTGTAATTTGTCATTTTTCATTGACTTCATTTTCTTCCCTTACATAATATTTATATATTGATTTATTCTTATTGAACGATTAATAAGGAAAGTCGTTAATAAACCAGGAAACAAATTATTCAAATAAGACGAAAAATTTTCATTAGTTAATTTTTTTTTTTTAAATTACGTGACTGCTAATTAAAAAAGAACATTATTTCAGTGAATAATTCAAATAAAACTGGAAAGAACTATTTGATCGTAAGATAAATTATTACAGTGTTTATAAACAAAATATCAAGATATCTGACGAATCAGATAGAAATCATTTTATAGATAATCATAAATAAGCTGATAGAGTAAATATCCCAAGAGACTGCAAGTATAAAAATTTTATTGAAGAAAGTATGTTTTATGGAGTAACAAACTGATGACGCAACTACATTGACCAACAGTCACTATCAATAATATAGTTATAAAATGTAGTTACGCAGGAATGATAGAGAAGAAGCATGATGCAGCAAACAACCACAGGGTCAGTAGAGTATAAAAAAAAATTTTCTTGTATAAAAGACCATTACAATCGTGTACTCTCGGCACGCTAATAGGGCAGTGATATAATTAACTACTATGCCCACACTCTTATCGGACTTTACGAAGCGTACCTGTACAAGTAAAAATAACTGGTGGACTTGACAGAGAAAGAAAAAAAAATCAAAAAAGTACTTTAATAGTACATGAAGAGTAAAAATTGCTTATGCACTCGGAATTTTTTTCTTTGGCATATTTAATGTATGATTTAATTTATTTATCCATTTATCAATATTAAAGCTGACATTGTTGTTGTTGTTTTGGTTATTAGAAATGATATATAAGCATTGCATAGAGCACATTATGATTTAAAAAAAAGTAGGAAGCATTAGTCACTAACAATTTTTATGCAATCAACTAGCTGAGACTCACGAGATTTCTCAATTTTCAGTCTAGTGTAATATCCTCGGTGTAAAGATCACGCGATTCTTAGAACGGCATATAATGTGACGGATAAAAGAGTGAGATAATGGAGTGGTTGATAGTTACTCATAATTCCTTTACTATTTTTCTTAGCCACTAGAAGATTGAAGGAATCGATATGATGGTATTTTTTTTTACTAATCATATCGTAAGTTATTTCTAAGATGAAAT